TCCAAATTTGGTACAAACCCAGGATAGTTTAAGAAAGTTATTAAAATTTTAAAAACTTTAACCACAGAGTGAATATGTTGTTTCCTGGCAGAAAATCTAAGTCCACTTATAAGTAAAATACGAATAAATGGAATTTTATTTTTACAAAATTTACTTCTGGATACTATCTTATGATCATAAACAAGCTTCTGTCCAAGTTTGGTAGAAATCCAGAATAGTTTAAGAAAGTTATTAAAATTTCAAAAACTTTAACCACAGAGTGAATATTTGTGGACGCCGCCGCCGACGACGACGACGACGACGCCGACGGAATGTAGGATCGCTATGTCTCGCTTTTTCAACTAAAGTCGAAGGCTCGACAAAAATTGAAAATGAATTAAAAAAATTCGTAAGGGTTCCGCGGAACCCAGTGTCTCGCCTACTTTTGCTGTTAATCGCAGGCTCAACAAAAATGAGGAAAAAAATAAATAAAAATATTCCTCTCTATACTATCTTTTGATTGTAAGTAGCTTCTGTCCAAGTTTGGTAAAAATCCAGGATAGTTTATGAATCTAATAAATGTTTTAAAAACTTAAACTGCAGACTGTATGTAATGTTAACTGGAAGAAAAACAAAGTCCATTTATAAGTAAAATACGGAAAAAATCAAACAAAATTTTAACAAAATTTCCTTCTAGATACTAGCTTTTAATCATAAACAAGCTTCTGTCCAAGTTTGGTACAAATCCAGGATAGTTTAAGAAAGTTGTTAAAATTTTAAAAACTTTAACCACTGAGTGAATGTAATGTTAACTGGCAGAAAAACTAAGTCCATTTATAAGTAAAATACGGAAAAAATGGATTTTTTTTTTTTACAAAATTTACTTCTGGATACTATCTTATGATCATAAACAAGCTTCTTTCCATGTTTGGTAGAAATCCAGGATAGTTTAAGAAAGTTATTAAAATTTCAAAAACTTTAACCACAGAGTGAATGTAATGTTTCTTGGCAGAAAAACTAAGTCCATTTATAAGTAAAATACGGAAAAAATGGATTTTTTTTTAAAATTTACTTCTGGATACTATCTTATGATCATAAACAAGCTTCTTTCCATGTTTGGTACAAATCCAGGATAGTTTAAGAAAGTTATTAAAATTTCAAAAACTTTAACCACAGAGTGAATGTAATGTTTCTTGGCAGAAAAACTAAGTCCATTTATAAGTAAAATACGGAAAAAATGGAATTTTTTTTTTACAAAATTGACTTTTGAATATTATCTTATGATCATAAACAAGCTTCTGTCAAAGTTTGGTAGAAATCCAGGATAGTTTAAGAAAGTTATTAAAATTTCAAAAACTTTAACCACAGAGTTAATATTTGTGGACGCCGCCGACGACAACGACGACGACGACGACGACGCCGACGGAATGTAGGATCGCTATGTCTCGCTTTTTCGACAAAAGTCGAAGGCTCGACAAAAATGTCAAGCAGTAAAAAATGTTTCACGTACCCTACCTGATAAATTTGATATATTCTCAACAAAATAATTAAGGACCACCAATAACTACGATATTGAAGATTTCTAAAGGAGCCGTTATAATTCATTGCAAGTGATAGAATTGCGATCTTTTCTTTAAGAAAAAGTAAGTGTATGAATTTAAAAAAAAAAAAAAAAGACAAGATGTAAAGATTGATAAACAAAATAAAATGAAAGTATGATTGTTTCTAAGCTTTATAGTAGAGTTGCCCTTTGCCTCTGGTTTATCGAAATAGTTTATAAATTCATTAATATGACAGAAATAAAGATTTGAAATAACAAAATGTTGTATATAAGCTTCAAATGAAAACTAAAAACAAATATTTTACCAGACAACAATAACTATGTTTAACACCATAATCTATCTTCTCCATCAAAAGATACCAAGGAACAAAACCAAACCATAAGTTGGTGGACAAAACAACTCAATGGTCAAAAGAAACAAAGACCAAAAACATAAAAAACACAAAACACCCCAAACCAATAAATAATTAAGCCGCAAAATGAGAAGCTATATTTGCTTAAGTTGTCTATTAAATGTCAGAAAACATACTTCAACGACAAATATAATTTATGTTTGGTAAATTTGCCGTTACACTTGTGAATGATACGGTTTATTAAAGATTAGCCAAAGTGATCTTATACAAACAAATAACTGTACTTTATTCTAGAACCTTTCTACTTAAGACTAGAAAAGTGACTTCAAAACAATACATCAACACACAGATACTCTAACACTCTGTCAGTTTTGTGCATATTCAACGTTTGCAATGATCGCAGACAAATGTCTGACGTCAAAATCTTGTTAATTCTTTAAAAATATACATGGTATTTTTTATTTTTATTTTACCTATAATATCTGAACAAACAAATGTTCTTCAATAAGTCATATCCTCGACAAATAATCAAAGAGCTTGATCGCCATTGTTTCCATTGATATTAGCATTCTTTCTCAAAAATAATTCAACTACACATGCATTTCCTATTTGATTCAATCTGAATATAGTTTTTCAACTTTAACAAATTGCCAATCACTGGTACAAGTGTATAATTATACATGAACAATGTAATTGCTGTGTTTTAGTTTTTGCTCTTCATGTGCCTCATTCTTGGAATTTTAAAATTCACTCATTTTAGAATTATTCCTTCTGAAGGCTCTTATCAATCCCACATACTCAGTGTCAAATATACAATTGTACAAGCATACATGTAGCAATTAAAGTCAAGCTGTTCTTTCTTTGCAATTGGCTTAAGTGTTTATATAACCAAAAATTTTAAAAGTCCTAGACGTCTTCCAAAACTGCAGAGATTTAAATGACGAAAGAGTTCGTGGTCAAGATTATAAATTCTACCATGTATGAAAGCTTTTGGGAAAACGGTCTCTTCAAACAGAAATACTATTGTAGGCACATGTGGCAGTGGTCATTAAAACTTGTCCATAACCTTAAAAAGGAACATACCTGCCACCTTTTTTGAAATTATCCATGTTTTCAGTCCCGATTTATTGCAACAATTTTGCACGTTTAATTTCTTTTAGAATTTGTGTCTACTAGGAACAACACCACTTCAGTACTTATATGACGGAAAAAGTTTTTTTCCTGAACCGCCTTCGCATTTTAACAAAACAGCGGAATTCCCATCTGACGTGATGCTAAATATATAAAACCCTAAATATAGATACTACTTAATACTGATTTTCCGTATTGTAAAATAAACTCAATAAAAGGGAGATATCAAAACATGAGGATAAGAAAAATTAACGGAAAGTTGTTGAAATTCAATCTGTTTGTTTGTTTTACTCTTTAAAACAAAACAATCCTAAGAATGATGTCTGAATCTGAGTTGTTCCTTAATATAAAACACAAAACGGTTGACGTTGGAAATGAGTCAATGGTTAAAGTCTGCAGATTGCTTGAAAGCAATCTTACTTCAAAAAAAGAATGTTACATACGAATGGACATCGTGTAACAGCCATTTGAAATCGTGTTTACAGTTTGTACAAAGCTTTTACTTTTCTTCCTCCGTTGACATTTACAAGCTTCAGCAAGAGCTGTTAGAAGTGTATTCCTTAAATTTTCACTCATAATAAGATACACAAAAAAGTTCAACGAGAATCCTATTTGTCTACTTAATAAACAATACGAGTCACATATCATCTCTAAAAACTGAATATATGGAAACAATCTAGAGTAGTTAATAGTTGTTAAAATATTTAACAACTCTGAAAGTATGAAAACAATGGATATGATGACAACTACGATTGCCGATCTATGAGCTCTTTCCATGGCAGCTATATTTCTAGTTCTTTGAACGTTCGTTGTACTTTTCCAAAGTTTATAAGAGAGATATACTGTGCAAAAAATTATAATGAACACTGAACTAAGCAGAAAAATATTCATTCCTGTATTCAATACATCAATATCATCGGCATCCAAATAATCGTCGAAACAACAAACATTATTTTCTCCCTTATAGAACGACTCGACGTCAATAAATGTTTCCCAGACAAAAACACCAATTAGAAGAAGGGAAAATAAAAAAATCACCAAAACATTCGACCTCTTTTTCTGCAGTCTCTGCAAACTCCATAGTGGATGTCGTAAAGCAATAACTTTTTGAATGCTTAAAATAACTGTTATGGTAACAGATATAAGATGAAATGCAGAGGAAATGTTTGTAACACACATCCAAACGATACAGCTAGGGTAAAGTTCTAACCAAGCCAATCCATCAAAGAGATCTTCTTTTTTTTCCAGGTCGTTAGTGTAAAACACAAAACCAACAAATGTTGGTAATGCTGCTAGGATGGATGTAATGCTGTCTGAAGCAGCCAACAGTGACAACAAGACGGTTGACGGTGTCCTGTTCCTAGGACGAGTAAATACAGCTATTACAAATATGTTCACTACTGAAGTCTCTATGGCTAAACATGTATGGGTCAAATTTATCCATGCAGCTGGAATATATATTTGACTTTGATTACATGAATCCTCCTGTCTGAAACTACTTTCATTCCCATAATAAACGTTGTGTCTGTTAGATGTCATGATGTTCATATCAATCTTTATAAGTTGTTAGTATGTTTGCCAAATGTTTCCTGGTGTAACTTTCTACATTTGAAAAATGAAATTATATACATGTAAATTGTATTTTCTTTTATACGATTATTGGTTGAAAATACAGGAAAATATTGATACTACTCCAGATTAAAAATATTGAATGAAAAAAGTTATTTTATATGTGAATCAGTTGTTATTCGAATTATGGAAGTCCGTATTTCTGTATGCTTCATTACGAGTGTGGCTTTTGCTCATCATATATATTAACATGAAGGCCTTGTGTTTGGTAATTGATTGTATTATTCATTATTGACACAGGGTTACTACTTAATTGCTTTCATTTTTGATGTAACATTTATATAATTTCAAAATTCAATGTGATACATTATATGTAATATGTGTATGTTAGTAAGTAATTAAGTAAGTAAAGTAAGTTAATTTTATTTTGAGTCGGTACATATGCATACAATAACAATAAACATAAGCTTAATAAAATTCTTACAAGCGACGTTAACATATATACACAAAACATCACAATAAACAAAGTATTAGTCTTGCTTGTAGCTTTGTCAAACATATTAGTAAAAAAAAAACCTAAGAATTAAAATTTCCCACTTTATACTTACAAGCACTGAGAATAAGTGAATACATATAAAACAATGTTACATGGTCAATGTAATGCCCGTCTAATGGAAGCAATTGAAAATCTTACAGAAACAACCAATCATTAACAGCTAAGAACACTTGCAGTGAACTCATGTCATAAGATATCTGATTTTATGTTAGCAATTATAATTATCAGTTGTCACAAATTGAAAATTTTAATTACAAATCGTTTTTAGGAGATACACCATCTTGTATTGACGTCATTCATTGATTAAAGTGAAAGTTTTAATTAATTATCAATGAAGAATATGTTATCATAAATATGTTTACTATAGCCATTGATATTAAGAATTGGAAAATTACGATATGTATCTATATACATGTATATATAAACAAGTCTAAATTGAAAACAACGTTCATATATATATATATATATATTTCAACTGCATGCTTTAAATGGATTTTCCAAAATTTTATATCTTTAATGTAGAATTACAACCATAAGATTTAAGCAATAACAAATAAAAAACATACATGTGCAATATTACAACAAATGAACTTTTAATTATACATGTTATATAAACAAATGTAAGATGATATATACTACATGAGTATCATGAACCTGTCTGACATGGGTCTGTCACCCTTAGTTATAAAGACTGTTTAATGACAAACAAGTTTAGGGGTGGAGAAAAAAATGTCTACTTATTTTTTTAACAGTCAGGGATATTTATAACTCTATAGGGTTATTACAGGAAATAACTTGCATGTGTTATTACAGATATTTTTATGAGTTGTCTACTCTTTAAACCTAAAATTTTCTAAATCTGTAATAACATATGTTTGTTATTTGTAAAATAAATGATCAACATTTTAATTTCTAGTGGGCTCTAGGGAACTCTGGAAACTTTGCCAGAAACTAAATGCATAGCCTTGATAACTAATTTTTGAATTAAATTAATACACTTATCATTAACCATGGTAAATCAATGAGACAAGGCTTTTAAGTGATTAACTTAGCTGTAATAACAAGGCTTAGTTATTAAAGTCATGTAACTTATTATATGAGACACTTGGGAATTACTTGGAAACTTGCGCAGAACCTCATTACATGCTCTGGTCATTATTTCTTACAATGAATTAAAATAAATTGTAATTAAGCATGATGTATGTCTGAGCAAATGCTTTGGAGTGATATAGAGAAGCTGTAATAACACCCTTTAGTTATTACAGCAGACATGGGGTCAATTACTTTTGAGAGTAATTAATTACATTCAATTACAATTACAAAATCTTCAATTAAATTACACATTACATTTGACTTTTTTTGACAATGTAATTAATTACTTTCCAATTACTTGGCAAATGTAATTAATTACTTCAATTACTTTTGAAAGGTAAATTTAGAACATGCATTTATTCTATCATATGTACATAATTATCATACATTGCTTTATAGTAATAACAAATGAGATCTACAGTGACTATTTTCAAACTCAGCCAGTATCAAAGAAGAATAAAAGTTAAATATTTGGTGTGTTACGGGAATAAAGAAAAAACAAACATAAATCTGAGATGCACATAATACTTTGTCTATCAGGAATGGTTAGGACTAGATGTCTGGTTTAATTTAATGCGCAAAATGATAAAAAGCCTTATTCGATATTTGGAAAATATTAAATTTTGTTTAATTACCTATTGAAATTTATGTTTAAATGTATTTCATTGAAAATGATACAAGAACAGAGCCCTATAGATAAAATTTTATTTTTTTTATTTTGATCACAACTTATTAAAAATTATTTTTCCTAAAGAAATGATTAAGAAAGTCTGACTTTTTTAAAAATATAACGTAGTTTTAATCACAATTAGTTAATTTAAAAAAAAATCATGTACCTAGGGGTATATTTATCTCTCTCTAATTTGGCTTAACACCTGTTTAACATGCAAACATAACTGTTGTAAAAACAGTCATTATTTAGAATATAGCAAAGTACTCTCGACCAATGAAATTGTAGGATTGGATGCCTCTTAATTGTGAAGAATGAATGTAAATCATGTTCTTAGTAAGGGATTATCCTATTATTTGGGTCTATTTACAGTTCAAAAAAAAGAGTTTCTATAAATGAGTTACAACTGCCCCGAAGCACATTTATCAGATTGAAAGGATTTATCACACAGTGATTGAAACTGACTAAAAGTTGAATAGTGAAACAAACAAAAATCTCAAAATAAGTTGAAGTTTACTGGTGCAGTAAAATTGGTACCGTGAATTTTATTATGAAAATATTAATAACTTCAAATTACTATAAAATTAAACAATACCAAAGCAATGCAAAAAAAAAGAAAAAATCTTTGAGATAAAAAATAACCTAAATCTTTAGCTTTCCAAAATTTTGATTACTTGATCAGCGGTTGGGGAGAATAGTTATTTCCAATACATGTATTCCGATAAAAAAAATCAGGAATTTAATTTTGAACATATTAAAAACTTTTAAAGGCATTATTTTTGAACATTTCCCTGACATAATGAAACAGTATTTGATTTAAAAAGCCGGACCAAATTATTGGCTGTGAAATAAAATTTAGTTGTAACTCAAATGTATTTTAAATTGATTTAAACTGTAAATAAAAAAAGGATACTTCCTCACTGAAATATTACATGATTTACATTCATACTCACAATCAGGAAACATATACAATTCCTACCTTTTCTTTCTACTAATGTGTCACCTAATATCTATAACGCATTTTTTTTTAAAATATTTCCCAAATGATAAGAAAGTCCTCACATCACTAGAACTAATCCATAAATGACATGCCGAAAAAGGAAGTCATGCATCAATTATAAACATTGCACTGACAATGAAACTAATTCTTGAGTAGATCATTTGAGCCTTGAGCACTTTACAATATTCTAAGTTTGTAAGAGAATGATAATCCCTTACTTCATGATAAGTACTCGCTAACGCTCGTACTTATTCATGAAGAAAGGGATTATCATTCTCTTACATATACATAGTTTATGATAAAACAAATAGCCAGAGGTTATATTTATTGATTGACTTATCACCTTTCAAATTGATTATGTTAAATCAATGTCTAACAATATCCATCTGAATAGACATGTAGGTAACAAGCTAATTAAGGTATAAAACAGTGACTTACTAATGGTTTCTTTAAAAAACACAAATTATGGCATGTTTCTACAATATTTTTTGTTCTTTTTAATTTTTTGTTCATTCATTACAAAATAAAGAATCTTCCATGGTTGTGTAATTACAGAAGGTATACTGTGTAGGCTATGATTTGTCAGCTAACTACATTTGCTAAGGTCATGGCTTTTCATAATTTTTTGAGAAAACACAAGATTCAATCTTTCTGATCCCAAATTTCAAATGTAATTGAATTGTAATTGAAAAGTAATTGTCAATTACAGACAATTTTGGCTTTGTAATTCATTACTTTCAATTACTTGTAATTGAAAAAATGCTCAATTACACATTGCATTCAATTACTTGGGAAATTGTAATTAATTACAGCCAATTACAATTACATATTTCAATTACCCCATGTCTGTATTACAGGCCAATTTTTTATGTAATAACATAGGTGTACTATGCATGATTGTCAAAATATGAACTGTTATATCTTTCTATAGTTGAGTATACATAAAGACAATAGTAATATCAATAGAACCTGTATACAATTTAACAAAACTAATGATGTATATTTTCCCTTTGAAACATGTAACATACATATGTTATCATAGGTCTTTGATTTTTTAGTCCACAATAACAAACATATGTTATTTTTCTCTAATAACCCTATAGAGTTATATCCTTGACTGTTTAATGGATTGGTGGCATATTGTCTTTGAAATATTATAAAAAAAGGAAAAAAACCTTGATGTAAAGACATATTAGAACTCTAATATAATTCTATAGAATAAATTCATATGATATTAATCCTATTGTTAATTAAAGCATCATTAAAAACAAATACAAGCTTACAAATGAAGGAACTTATCCTTGGTATTGGTTTGTTGATAAATTTTTTAAAGATTTGGTAACAAATCCAGACAACATTCCCATATACCCTTCAAACAATAAAAGTTTTACATGTTTAATGTAAATTCAAAATATTGGTTTCAGATAAATATGAGAAATTGAATTTAGATAAAATTTCAAAACTTGATTTCTCATCTAAACTTTGTCTTTATGGAAAGCTTAAAACTAATTGTCATACTGAGGAATATTCAAATTGCAATAATTTATTATATAGACAATTTGTATGCAAATAAAGACAAAGACATAGTGCATTGAAGTGGGTACATGTAGGTACATGAAAATCTCAAGAGTGCAACAAATATGTAATAAAAATAAAATATCATTTCTCCTTGTACGAGCCAAGAGTAAATCTACATAACTCTGACCTAGATGACCTAGCACCAATGTTAGTGACTGTCTTTTATTTGTCCCAACTTTGATTTACGCTTAAAGAAAATTGTGAAAAAAATAAGTCTTATTCAAATGAAAGTGCTTACTTGCATCAAATTTTAATTTCTTTTACCTTCATCAGCACTCAACTGGCAAAGACTTTTTTGGTGGGCTAATATTTAAGTCCATAAATTCAAATTCAAATTCAGGCTCTTCAATTGGCTGACACTTATCCTTCATTTCTAAAGTAGACTCTACATTTTTTAAAAACTCTTTCGATAGACGACCTTTAAAGTCACAAGATCCTGACAACATCTGATTATCTTCTAAAGATAAAGAAGGCTGAATTGACGAATGATTTATCGTCATCCAAAGTTTCAGAACAGATGAAAGATTAAGTCTATAAAATGGTGGTTTTTTAAAAGGTCCATCCCATAACGGTATTGGTAAGCCACTATTTCGTAAAAGTATATCATTATCCGAATCATATAGATATATATCAAATGAAGTTCCATTAGCAGCAATGAGTGGTATCAAGGAAACATTTGGAAAAGGACCTCTCTTTTGATGTTGACATTTCGTCTGATACATAGAGAAAGTTATAGCAGTGGCAATGATTTGAGATTTGTTATACTTTTCTCTTAAAGTTAAATCATCAGAATTAAAATCCAAAACTTGTTTATCATCCGAAATAATTGGCACCTCTGGATATTCTGCTGCCTCATCCTCTGGTTTTGGGGGTATTACAATGCTACAGTTTACTCCTCCTATTGGGAAAACCATAATGTCAGGTTTGCCATACCATAGCAACTCACTACCTGTAAATCAAATGTTTCTATTCATTAGTTTAACAGTCAGTATAGGAACATGATCAAAACTCTTTGTAGCCTATAAATCAAATGGTCTTTACATATTATAACAAAGGTTAGTAAAAATTGGAATTGCCTTAATTTTATTATTTGGAAAAATATATTATATTTTGAAAAGGATCCATCAACTATCAGACTATAGCTTGTTTTGGCAGCAATTGGTCCTTAACTAGATAATCAGTAAAGGCACTAGTTAGGCAGACAAGTCTGATGACAGTAAGGTCGTCAATCATTATTCTAAAATTGGATCAAAAGTGTATGAAATTTTGGCAGCAATTGGTAGCAATTGGTCTGGTACAGGATTTTTCTTAATCAATTAGAATTATTTCTATTTTTAGTAACAGTGACAGCCATGTTTGATAGCATTTGTATCATCAACCATAATTCTGAAAGAGTATCACAAGTGTAGCTTTTCCCCAAAGTTTGGCAGCAGTTGGCCTGCTCAGAATTTGAAGGGATTTTTTAATTGTTTTTTTGTTGATTTTTTCTCTTATGACAGAGATTTTTTAAAGGAAGGCAACATTCCAGTAAACTGAATACATATAGACAAGCTAAGCAAGGCAAAAATTTAACAAGAGTGCACACGTTGAAATGTCTCGCCTTCTTTACTAATCATTGATATTATGTTGATAGTCCTAAAGCTTTATTACAACTGTCACATACATGTAAACTTAACATTAACCAAGTAAACTAAACATTGACCAATGAACCATGAAAATGAGGTCAAGGTCAGATGAACCATGCTAGGCAGGCATGTACAGCTAACAATTCTTCCATACAACAAATATAGTTGACCTATTGCTTATAGTTTAAGAAAAACAGTACAAAACACAAAAACTTAACACTGAGCAATGAACTTAAAAATAAGGTCAAGGTCAAATAAAACCTGCGTGACTGACATATAGATCATAAAATATTTCCATACACCAAATATAGTTGAACTATTGCATATAGTATTAGAAAAAAAGACCAAAACTCAAAAACTTAACTTTGACCACTGAACCATGAAAATGAGGTCAAGGTCAGACGACACCTGCCAGCTAGACATGTACACCTTACAATCATTCCATACACCAAATATAGTAGACCTATTGCATACAGTATAAGAAAAACAGACCAAAACACAAAAACGTAACTATAACCAATGAACCATGAAAATGAGGTCAAGGTCAGATGACACCTGCCAGTTGGACATGTACACCTTACAGTTCTTCCATACACCGAATATACTAGACCTATTGCTTATAGTATCTGAGATATGGACTTGACCACCAAAACTTAACCTTGTTTGCTGATCCATGAAATGAGGTTGAGGTCAAGTGAAAACTGTCTGACAGGCATGAGGACCTTGCAAGGAACGCACATACCAAATATTATTATCCTATTACTTATAATAAGAGAGAATTTAACATTACAAAAAATCTTAACTTTTTTTTCGGGTAGTCACGTCCTGAACCATGAAAATGAGGTCAAGGACATTGGACATGTGACTGACGGAAACTTCGTAACATGAGGCATCCATTTACAAAGTATGAAGCATCCAGATCTTCCACCTTCTAAAATATAAAGCTTTTAAGAAGTTAGCTAATGCCGCCGCCGGATCACTATCCCTATTTAGAGATTTCTGCAACAAAAGTCGCAGGCTCGACAAAAATCATACAAATTGTTAGAAGCATGAGAATTTAAATCTTTTTGGTCGATCAAAGGGCTAAGCCCCCTTTTGGATCCTCCAATGTATGAATTTTATTTTAAATAGAAAAGGTGGCCATTTTGGTGGGTTGGAAGCATCATTGAATGCAACCTCTAAAGTTTGATTGTGGAAGTTTGGTCCAAGCTGGCCCAGTGCTTTCAGGTGATGATTTTTGCTGACAATATTAATGGAAGGAAAATGTATTGCAGTAGTTTACACTACCCAGTGTTAGCCAGATTAGTTAAAACCTGTCTCTAGCATCAACATTTTTTAGCTGACTATAATAAAATTTATTTTCAACTTGTGTCACCTACTCCCATATCAATTAACAAGAAGGAGCTGCATATTAGCGTTAAATTATTAACAATCCCTGAAAGTTTCGTGGTTATAGATTCATTTAAAATTTGTTAAGAAGGTGTGGATAAGTGATTAGACCCTCTCCCCTCAATGGATTTGGTCTTGGATGTTGCCAAATTTTATGTCCTTGTTTTGCTATGGAAAACCCTTAAATTATTCTGATCATTTAATCAAATAAGAAGTGCACAATGGCATTATGTAATGAAGGTTCCCTATAATTTGCAGGGATTCCATTCTTTGGTTAAAAAGTCGCACCAGATAAAGGTAAGTGTCACAGTGAAGACCACGTAAGACGATGAATAGTGATGCATATGTATTGACTCTGCTATATATATATATATATGCTACAATTATCTAATAATCAAATAATTATTTCTACTAAGTCTGGCAAGAGGAGAACATGAAAAATCAAATCACAGAAGATTGAGATAAAAACTGATAATAGCTCACATGGTTCTTTGGATGATGATGGATGGCTGATTAATGTCCAGTGGCAAATTAAATGCATATTTAGGACTGGAACATGTTTATGCTATTATAAATTCAGAAATTATTGTGTGCATTAATTATTACGATTTTTCAAGAGTGGGCTAAAATGCGAGTTTAATTATTGCGATATCGAAAAAATCTGCATACAGATCTATGTTTTACTTATCAGAATGTGAGTTCTTATTATTGCGATATTCACCCAGTCGCAATATTCTCATTAATTAAAACCTTGCATTAATTTCTGAATTTACAGTATATGATAAACATTGTATGTACCTGCTTTGTACTATAGATGGACATGCTGATCCAGATTTTTAATGTGCTATTTCACATGGAAACAGTCGACAGGAAGACATGTCATCCTACCTGGACATTATTCTGACTTCGAGCAGATCAGTCTTTGCTCTTACTCCTCAGTGGAGGAGCAAAAAATACCAGTTCTAAAGTCTTTAGTTTGTCCAGGCCTGGAAATAAACCCAAATCCTCCCAGACTCGAGAGGAGCACACTACTAACAGACCACTGAGCTGGTTAGGTTTTTTGGATAAGGAGAACTAATAGTAAATGTGTAAGTATTGTACAGTATCTTACCAAATCCAGTATTGCCATACAAAATTTCCTCTCCACACTTCTTGGAGCAATTACAGTATACATGTACAGGTCTTCTCTTTGTATCATTTGTTACGAAATATGTTGTCCCAACACTTGGTGCTGTAAGTCTAGAAAATAGATGATTGGCCATAATAATACTTATTTCTCTCTCATTATCAATGGTTCTTATCTTCCTTAAGCATTCCTCATGATAGTCTGAAAAAAGAAACTTGTATTCTCAGAATAACTGCAGCTAGCATCTGATCGTTACTTTCCTTTATGTTCTGTGTCTGTGAGACTAAAAAATAACAGAAACAACACACTACAACTTATTATTTTCAAGCTGGCAGACCAAATATAAAATCATTCCGTTTCATAGAAACCAAGAAAAGTTTAATGAAAGGTTTCTACCAAAGTCTTTTGGGTGACAGCATAGACATATGGACGGAGCAAAGCAGTTACTAGACCTGCTTTTGTCGTAGATATCGCAGGTAATAAAATTACCTTCAGTCCAAAATATTCTTCAGGATGAATAAAATATTGGTAACTGTGATGTACTATCAGGATGGTTAATAAGTCCTGAACCTAATAAGCTGTACAAGTGTTGTGATTAGGTCAAAAATAGTTTAACTTGACAAAACTCTTATGTGACCTTTACCTTGTCATTACACTATATATTATATACCAAATACATGTATCAACTTAATATCTGCAGGGAGAGATGACAATTGAGGCAAACACTCTTATTTTCATAATTTTTTTTTAAGTCAAGGGCTGCAATTAGGTCAAAAGTAGGTCAACTGGAACAAAACTCAAAGATCAGTTGTGACTTCTCATTGCGTAAAGACTTTGGATTTAAGATTTATACCATTTTGACAGTTTTACCCCTATGTTCTATCTAAAGCAACTTTTTATTTAGCAAGTAAAACACAAACTTTTATCTTTGCAGTGCAGTCAGCAAAATCTTTCCTTTAAAAAAAGGAAAATTTCTTTAGAACCATACAAAGCACAATATACATGTACCCATAAGTTTATAGGTGCTTACAAACACATTTTATCTTGTTTTTTAGCTTTAAAAATTGGATGATACTTATTTTACTATGGTCATGATGGTGTGTGTATTAGGTTGAGTCTAATCCAATAGCATAATGCAGGAAGATGTCATAGCAAAAACTAACAAGTAGCCTCCCAAATGATCATAATTATTTTGATTAATATGGATGGTTTTAAAGTAATTTTCATTGGTGAATGGGTACATCCTCTTACCAGATCCTTTGGAATGCTAGAATTATTCATGTATTTTCTTCAACTTTTTGTCTGGCATCAATTTAGTCCAAATAATTTTGACCTCTTTGAAGGCTATTTTAAATTTTTGCTTTGACGCCATGCGTCAAAGAAAAAAAAATATAATAGCCTTTCAAGACGTCATAATTATTTGGACTAGCATCAATTATACTCAGTTGTTGTAAATAGCGAACTCAATTATGCTTTTTTTTGTCAAAGGCTTACTCAAAATAATTTATTGGTAGTTATAGGCTAAATAAAATAAACTTTTTTTGTTAAAGGCTTAACTTACTCAAAATAATTAATTTTTGTTAACATGGTTATTAAAGGCTAAATCAAATTACTGTTTAAATTTGTTCTCAAAGATTTACTCAAAACTATCTTATTTTTGCTATAGGATAAATCAAATTATTTCTGTGTCAGTAAAGATTACTTATTTCACCAGGTGAGGAACAAATCTCACAAACCCAGAACTTATTTCACCAGGTAAGGAACAAATCTCACAAACCCGGAACTTATTTCACTAGGTAAGGAACAAATTTCACAACCCAGAACTTATTTCACCAGGTAAAGTGAGGAACTTATTTTATAGAGATGGAACAAATTATATATAAATTGTCTGTGAAAAAAGTTCTCCCAGAACATATTTCCTGTGAAATTAGTTCCACTGGAACTTTTTTCACAGGAACAAATTTTGGCTCACATAGAATGATAGATCAGGGTAAATTGGTGTAAAAAAAAAATATTCCTTTTCCAATATACACATGAACATGTAGAGTCCAATATTTATTCTATATCTTTCACTCTTCTCCTACCCCAAAAAAGTCTTAATACGGTCATCCCCCTAACATACATTGTACGTGGCGATGGAAATCATCTAACAACTCATCATTGCTCTATACAGGGTCAAGAATCATTTGGATCCAAATGGTGAGAGTCACAAATTAAAAAAGAAAACAATATACATCATGTACATTGTAAACATGGTAAAGGAGACATTTTGTTAATCATTAAAGGATTATACATTTTGAAGTTGAGAGCATAAACATTGTACCTAAAACATTCTGAACAAAATAGGGACTTACTTGTAAAGATATAGACAGTAATTACATTTTTTTGTACCTCTAACATGTCTAACATTCTGTCTAAGGTTTTCTGCAGAATGCCTCCCCCTTTTTTCTGAATTGATACCAAGATCTAGACAACTAGGGAGTATTTATCCACATGAGAGGTACAATGTGTACATGTATATATACAAGTCTAAATTGAAAACAACTTCAAACCTATGATTGCGTATATACATGTATATATATATTTGTTGAAACAGTAAATTTTAATGTAGTTATCATAGTATTCATTGGTATTAGTTAAAATACTACAATGTATTTATTAAAGTAAATTTATTTTTGTTGTTTACAATTTTAATCATTTGTGGAACTCGTCAATTTCGGAGTATAGGGAATTCCCTCCTTCAAAGGAGCACTACATGTATCTGGGGTGCAATTAACAGGATAGTTAGCGAATTGTTATTACCTTTCAATCAAAATTATGTTTTGATAGTTGTAAATCATTCAATTGAGGAAAAATTTCAAATTTTCCATTTTTTAGACGAAAATTCAGCAATTTAGACATTAGACATGTTAGAGGTCTCATAGCACTAGAATACAGGTGCAAACAGGTCATTTGATGACCCGGACATGTATTGAAAGTTTTAGGGTGAGCTGGTAAATTCACAGGTCACATTTGCTCAAAATACAGATCAGTTGACAGGTATGTTTGAATTGTTTCACATTTTTCATGTTTGGCCTTTTATAGGTGACTATACAGTATGGGTTTCCCATTGTTGAAGGTTAAATGACCTAAAAATGCTTGCACCAATGTCATTTGAACTCTGGTGGATATTTCTCTCATTGGCAATCAAACCACATCTCTTTATTTCGATCTATATAGGTTTTCACCATGTTCACCTTGGCAGCTGGGTTTGAAATGTTTTAACATGTTTAAAATGCTCAAACACATTATCATCATTATTGGCCAATGAAAATGTCTGTTCCTTTGAAAGCTTGCAGCATATGATATACACCTTATCGCTATTCCCGCTTGACCCGAGAATCTGTCCCGCTTGAACTTTTGACATCATACAACAATCACTTTTCCATTGTGGCGTCAAATATTTTCTATTATGACGTCAAAATTTTACTGGAACTTTTGTGATGTCCAGTAATGGCGGACAAATAGCGATAAGGTGTATTGTTAACATGACTGTTTGTGTTGTTTAAACTGTCGCTAAAATTTAATGCATTTCAGGGTACATGTACATGTACATTGTAGCAATCTATTATCTATATAGATGTACCTTTCTCACAAAGAAACCCTGTCACAAAAGCGTCTATGGCATACTGAAGTAAATATCTGTTATCATAAGCTTTCTCATCTTGTATGTTGTCTTCAATTGTAATTGAGGCTCCGTCATTGAAACATTCAAGTGCATGAAACCCATTACGAAATATAGAACTGAATGGTATTAAATTGGTCTTCACTTTTCCTCTTTTTATCTCGTTTTTATTAACAGACGATGGCTCTCGAATCCTTCCAAATTTGTCTTTTAAATACTGGACTGTAGTAATGCGTGCTTTCGTAAAGTTATCCCCTAAATGCCAACTCCTACAACGTAACGGCATGAATACAGTTTCCTCATAACCACTGAGCGCATCTGCTAAGTAACGTTTTACATCGGATGAATAAAATTTGCGTGAAGTGATATGTGGGAATAATTTCGACCTGGAAATCCGAGAAACAGAGCACATTTTTATTACCACAATTCATGTGTAGCCTGTGCAATATGGCATATTTTGTTGGTGGTAATTATTGTCAAAAATCAGAACAGAAAAAAGTCACAACAAATTAACAAAGGGGGGTAATCCATCAAAGTTTATAATAAAACTTGTACCGGACAAGTGGAAATCCGGGTGATTGGCAAGCTTTCAAAGATTGCTAAAAATAAAGTTTGTAACCAGACTGACCAGACCAACAGGCTTTTGGACCTGGGAGGAAACATCTGAATTTCTCATATATTTTTTTTCAAGTCCCACCTTGAAGACGGAAAATATATTCAAGTAGACCCGCTTCCAAAGACAATATGAAAATCCCCCCCCCAAAAAAAACCACTTTTCAATATTTTTATTCTTTACCCCAAAAGTACATGCGTACAAAACAAAACGATTTCTATTATTATTATTTTTCAATAAAACAGTGCATCAGTAGTAGAAATAGAACTTAAGTAGGTAAGTTGTTTATGACCTCAGGGAACTTTATTTCAGTAATAGATAAAATAAATGCTTTTTATATTTTCTTTATATGTTTCGGAGTTTTTTCAACACACTTTTTTATCCTTTATTGAAGATGTTAGTAAATTAACTTCAGATAAAATACATTCCCAGAAGAACATGTTGAATCTTAAGTAGGATTTGGATCTTAATATTTGAGCCGAGCAGAGCGAGGCGAAAAATATGTCTTTCCTGCCCAAACTTATAATGTTTGGTATTGTAAGTAAGCTGTGGGTCGCTTGACTCCGCATTTCCATTTCATAAAGGAAACGTGAATTATTCACGTAACTGAGACATTAAAAATGACACGCTCGACTCCCAGACATTCAGTGAAATATATGCTCAATTATAAGTTTTACGATTAATCACATAAGGAAACAACTATTTATATTATCGGTATTTATATATATATATATATATATATATGGAAAGGGGTGTACTAAGAAAACCTGCAAAAACAAAGACATCAAACCATTAATTATTCCCTATTGTCATACTTCATGCGTCCAATAAACAAACTAAAAATGGTCATGTATCACATGAATAAAACATTGAAATGAAGTTTGAAGCCAAAAATTATAACACAAGAGATGTAGATATGACATCTGAATCAAGTGTTAGACACTTCTGCTGAATAATCAGATACTGATCTAGAGTTTCCATCAAATCAGCAATGTTTTTTTTTTATGTTTGAAATACAGATTCCTAAAATATTTTGATGCCCCCCATCTGAAGTATTGAAAAAATTGAATACCCTCCTCTTCATTCCCAAAAAGTTCAAGCCGCCCTTAATTTCCTCCCGTCCTTTCAGGTTACAAATAACCAGTTCCTAATAGAAGGAGATTGCAATGAATTCTACAAAATCCTTAAGTATGATACATAAGAGACATTTCTTGGACAATTTACCAGTACCAGTTAGGAACCGACTATTTAACTTTGGAGGGGGAGGGGGTGCAATGATTTCAATAGATACAAGGTCTATTACATCTATGACTTTTGCTTTAATCAGGAAGAAATCATTTGTTTTTTTATTGGGGAGGGGCGCTAAGAATAAAAATCAAATAAAAAGCAGGACCAACAATTCGGCGAAAAAAATCCAGGATGAACTATGCCAAAAAATAAATAGGCAGGATGAATATATATCAAAGTATTTGATAACGACAATGAAAATGATCAACCCCATAGATATGACAGTCACCCTCGGCCGTTAATGAATAGTACAAATCAGAATTCCAATATCTACTAGTTGAAACTTGGATATCCAGATTTGTACCATATAATATATAGGAGAATCCTTGATTGTACTAGATGATAAGTAATGATCCTTGATTGATTTGGATGAAATATAACGTTGAGCGCTCAAAATTATGTTTAACACAGCCGCATTCTTTATGTGCCTGTCCAAAGTCAGGAGCCTGTAGTTCAGTGATTGTCGTTGGTTCTGTAAATTAATAGTTTAGAAATACAAAGGATCATATGATACTTTTATTAAAATTGCATGAAAATAATACTATGATAAAATGTCTATGTGCACATCAGTGCGAGCACAAGTATGTTCTGTGAATGTTCTGACTAAGTATAAAAATGATTCGGGATAAATAGTAACTTGGCATTGTCTGGTGATCGTATAGTGTGTTCCATAAATGGTAATGTTTATACTATAGTGGTTGGTAATACAGGCACATGGTGAGCTACTGATGACCTATATCATAAGTTTGTTGAAAGTCAATTAATGATCTGGATACTAAGGTAAACATCTTCATAACGTTCCTGACTTTCTATTTAATATCAATAAAAGACAATTGGTTTGTATATCATCAAGCTATATTATAGGTTTATTGAAAGTCAATTAATGATCTGGATACTAAGGTATACCATGTATACATCTGCATTACGTTCCTGGCTTTATAACTAATATTAATAAAGGACAATTGGTTTGTATATCATCAAGGCTGGGTAAATGGTCATCTAACATATTGGTTCGTCTGATAACGGTGTTGTAAGATTTATATATTATTAAGTGCAACATAGGTATATATTCAACTATGATACAGTTCATGTCGTCATATTATTTTTGTAAATTGTTTTGTTATTAATTAGGCTGTTGGGTTTCTCATTTGAATTGTTTCACATTTTTCATGTCGGGGCCTTTTATAGCCGACCATACGGTATAGGGTTTCTCATTGTTCAAGGCCGTATGGTCGCCTATAGTCGCTTACATCCATTTCAATTGAAATCTGGTAGATTGTTGTCTCATTGGGAATCAGACAACATCTATTTACTTTTATATTATATGATTTTCTTTTTTTTTGCCGGTGCCAAAGCCAAACACAACTGGCAGAAATGAGGTATAATAAGTGCAAGATATGCTTGGTGTTTAATATTTTAAAACATTTAAATTTGTCAACATTTCTCATTTTTGACTTCAATGCTTTCCATCCAAAAGTCTACAATTATAGAAGTCAGAAGCTCGTACAACTGTATACGTGATACTAAAACTTTTGTGCTTGATATTCATATGATGAAGACATAATCTTTTATAATCAGTTTAATTGAGGTCTGGAGCTGGCATGTCAGTAACTGCTAGTACATTTTTTGTAGTCTGTTGTTATTTATGTATTATTGTCATTTTGTTTATTTTCTTTTGTTTCCTATTCTGACATCGGACTCGGACTTCTCTTATACTGAGTTTTACTGTACATACTGTTGTGCGATTTTTTTCTACATTGGCTAGAGGTATAGGGGGAGGGTTGAGATCTCAAAAAACAAAGTCATGTTTAACCCCGCCGCATTTTTGCGCCTGTCCCAAGTCAGGAGCCTCTGGCCTTTGTTAGTCTTGTATCGTTTTTAATTTTAGTTTCCTGTGTATAATTTGGAGTTTTATATGACGTCCATTATCACTGAACTAGTATACATATTTGTTTAGGGGCCAGCTGAAGGACGCCTTCGGGAGCGGGAGTTTCTCGCTGCATGTAAGACCATTGGTGGCCTTCGGCTGTTGTCTGCTCTATGGTCGGGTTGTTGTCTCTTTGACACATTCCCCATTTCCATTCTCAATTTTATTTATGGTGTCTACATCAGTACTGCATAGTTAGCATGAGCCTTGTCCCCAACTGCAATGTTTGAAAAATATACTTAGCTCTTGCACATTCTTATGAATTTTATTGAAAAGCATCCGGATTTATGTTACATAAGGAAAAGAAACAAACTTTACATACGAGTTGACATAGTGACATATGAAATCGCATTTACAGTCGGGCCAATGTTTTTACTTTTCGTCCGGCTTTTACACCAAAAGACACCAACAAAAGCTGTTCTAAGTGTATTCTTTAAATTTTCACTCATTATCAGGTACACTACAAAGTTTAATGAAAATCCAATTTGCCTACTTAATAAACAATACGAGTCACAGGCACCCTCTAAAAGATCAATATGTGTTGGAAGCAGTCTAGAGTCGTTTATGGTTGTTATGATGTTTAACACCTCCGAGAGTACGAATACAATTGATATTAGTAGAATTAGCATTGCTGATCTGTGAGCTCTCGCGGTAGCAGCTGTATTTCTAATTCTGTTTTTTGTACTTTTACGAAGTTTAAAACCCAGATAAACGGTGCATAATACTATGCTGAGCACGGAAGCTAGCACATAATACTATGCTGAGCACGGAAGCTAGCACATAATACTATGCTGAGCACGGAAGCTAGCACATAATACTATGCTGATCACGGAAGCTAGCAGGAAAATGTTCAACCCAGTATTTAATGGATCGATATCATCTGCTTCATAAATATCATCAAAGCAGCAAACATTATTTCTCCCATTATAGAACATCTTATTGTCTTTCACTGTTTTCCATGCAAACACGCTGGTAAAAAGAACGGTAATGAGACACATCACAAACATATTTGATTTGTTTTGCTTTCGCTGCAAGCTCCAAAGCGGAAATCGTAAAGCAATAATTTTTTGAATGCTCAACGTTACCGTTATACTAATAGATATGCTGTGAAATGCAGAGGAAATGTTTGTAACACTCAACCAAACGATACAGCTAGGGTAATGTTCGTACCAAATCCATCCACCGAAAAACTCGCTTCTTTCCTCGAGATCGTCAGTGTAAAACACAAAACCAACAAATGTTGGTATTGACGCTAGTATCGCTGCTATGCTGTCTGATGCAGCTAACAATGAAATCAAAACAGTTGACGGTGTCCGGTTTTTGGGACGAATAAATACAGTTATGACAAATGTATTGACTACAACAGTTTCTGCTGCCAAACATATCAAGGTAAAGGTCACCCATGTTTCTGGAATATATATTTCACTTTGTTCACATTTGTCTTCATTTTCTGAGAGACTTCCATTGTCATAAGAATTATAGTGTCCGTTTGGTATCATTCTGAAATAACAAATCAAAAATAGAGAACATTTCAGTTAAGTTATGATAAAATAAATAACTTAGTATTACACTGTGGTCAAATCTATAATCCAACTCTTTACTTTATCAACAAATTTCGATATGAAGAAAATGTTTCTTTTAACTTACCAACTTTTATGTATGAGTTACATCTTAAATGAGCCACATTGCT